CAAACTCCTAGCTCGAGGAATTCCTAATGATACATCATATGTATGTATTGTTCATTCTTCTAGACGAACTATAATTAAACAAATCCATGCATTAAATACAATCCAAAGTGTGAACTTTAGACTTATTTAATGGAAAAATATCATTCGTCAACAATATTAGTAGTTTGTAACATTATTTGGTATTGAATTTAACGAAAATTTTTTGTTTATATTACCTAGAACTTTTTTCTGTCTTCCAAAAGTATGGCCACATTTCCTTTAGAAATGAAAATATTGTAAGTTTATGTGTGACAGATGTAATAAGTACTGTGTGTGGGCGTATGATATGTCATAAAACTTGATTAACATATTTCGAAGTGTGAACATAATATCATCGCCGGTTTATTTTTTTAATGTTTCCTTGAGTATTAATATTTTTTATTTTAGTCATATAGAGTGAGTTATGACAAACAAATATAAATTCCTGTGAAAACACGGACATGTAATAACTTTTATATTGGTCGTGGGAAGATTTGATACAGTTTTATAATTATGGGTAAGTTTAAAATGTTTTTACATTTGTTGTGATATATTTTACATTACATGTGAATGTTTCAGAGGATTCAATGCAAGCACAAAAATGGCAACAGCATTTATCTTTACTGCGTGAACAATATGTTAATTTATATAATTCAAATATAGAACTTCAACGTGAATATGCTATTGCCACTGCAGATAAGAAGGAATCTGGATTTATTGGGAAACTCTTGACAATTATAGCATCCTTACATGGCCAACATCGTTATAGGTTTGTAAAGATTAGTAAATCATATGTATGTGTATATATATATCATATGTATGTATAGTATAATTAATCCATTTTATTTTATAGTGATGTTACTGTTAAATTAATGGGTCAGGAAATACCAGCTCATAAATTTATATTGTCGGCAAGGACAGATTTTTTCAGCGATTCGGTACTTGCTGAAGTAGATACTTTAGGTAAAATATTAAGATATAATAGGACTATGGTAGAACCTCATTTATTTAAATTAATTTGCAATTGTATTTCTATTATCCAATTTACAAAACTCTGATATATAAACTATGAGAATATTCTAGACGTCTGTCAATATATTGTATGACAGGTTTAAATAAATAGGTCTCTACTGTAAGTAAAAAATAAATAAATAAAAAATATATATATATAATTATTTTTTAATAAATAGTAATGAGAATTATTATAGAATATTAATAAAATAAGCAATGAGAAACATCTTTATAGATTGGACTGACTTGGACACAAATATTGGATTAGTACTTTTAAAATGGATTTATACAGGAAAAGTATCTCAAGAAAATTTAACGTTGGACCTAATGAAAGCAGCATCTAATTTTCAGTTGGTAGAATTAGTTGAGCAATGCGAAAGATATTTAATTGGAATTGTAGGACTTAAGGATTGTGTACAATTATATGCAGCTGCTGAAGAATTGGGGACTCAAAAGTTAAAAGAACATTGTAGTTCTTTGATTTCAGCTCACTGGGTAAAAAAATACTACTTTCTTCAAGCACTAATTACAACATGACTTTATTTGAAACTTTATACATTTAGGAAGATTTAACTGGAGAAGATTTTAAAGAAATGCCTGGTTCCTTGTTGTACAAGTTATTACAAACAAAAAGTAAATATCCACTACATGCTGCTGTCCGGTTGATGAGAGAAGATGTGGTTTTTTTATATTTAGTGGAAAACAATTCAGGGGTAAGTTATGCTCTTAAATTTGTATTAATTTTATTTATCTTTGCACAGTAGACATTCATTATTTATGCATCACAGTATAGTATAAACAGACATACATTTTCACAGCCTGTTTTAAGTACATTCCACTG